CGCCCCCCCTAAAATTCGGAAAAATGTTGCCAAAGGCCAGAAATAATGCTGGGTTTTTAAAATATTTTTTTCTCCAATTTTTGACGTTCGCCTGATTTCACAACCATGCCTCACATATTATCTTCAACAGGAACACCAAGTCCTTTGCCAAAAATGTAACCCCGTCTAAGCATCTAACTATACAAGAAGGGGGAAAGTAAAGTAAGTAATTAGAGGTTCGAACCACAGAGGCAGGGGAGACGGGGTTTTGTTTAGTTTATAAAACGACTTGCCCTGTCATTTTGCAAATAGGAAAAAGTAAAGTAAGTAAGCTCTTGTTGTCGTAACTACAGCCATATATGGGTTGGTATTTAATTTTACTTCTTGGTGGAAAATTCTGGCAGTCCTGTGCAGAGCACAGCTTCTTCCTCGTTACGTTATGGGAGACTGACTTTTAATTTCAAAGTTGGAAAAGTCCCACTTTCTCATTTCCTACGTTCTCTCTTTCTGTCTCTCTATCAGTCTCTGTTTCTCTGTCTCTGTCTCTGTCTCTATCTTTGTTTATGTCTCTGTCTCTCTTTCTCTGTCTCTCTCTCTCTCTCTCTCTCTCTCTCTCTCTCTGCGCCTCTCCATATATATCTTTCTTTCTGTCTCTTTCTCTGTGGGTGGTTGATGGGTGCTCAGGTGTGGTTTGCTTCTTCTTTCCTATCAATGTCGTCCATATCTCTTTCTTTTCTTTGTATGTCATTCTCTAGTAATACCTCTAATCTTTGGCATTTATATGACCTGTTGGTGTTACAGCTCTTACTAAAAAAAAAAAACTCTCTCTCCTTCCTCTCTTATTCTACGCCCCCACCCCCCGTATCTCCCCCACCTCTCTCTCTCTCTTTCAGTCATCTTCCCCGCTTCCCCTCTTCGCCTCCAATTCTCTCTACAGGTCTCACATTTTCACTCCAAGGGTATTCGAAAGCATTGATCCCCTTCAAATGGCCCCAATTGTCGAAGTGAAATCCTATTACGTCCATCACTGTCCCCACCTTTTCTCCATTCTCCCGGTCGTAAGAATGAGCGTAGTGATTCACATTATGATCAGTAACATGACGCCCTCGTCAAAGACGAAGCGCTAACCTTTAACAAAGAGGTTAACGCTACAAACATCTCGTCTGTATCCCTGTGGGCATGTCGGCGGCACCCCCCAACGCCGGCTCTTTTCCTCTACTTTTGCCCCGGCCTGTGATGTACTATTACTAGTGTTGCCCACTTTTGTTTTTAGTTCTTGCAGGGTTTTTTTCCTCCTTCTGGTTCGTGTCTGTACTCTCAGAGGGGATTCCCATTTATTCCTCCCCTCCCCTCACTCTACGTTTTGCCCGTTTCACTTTCTCTCACTTTCGCCGCCCTTGCACGACTAACGTGAGTCTTTGTTTCAGCGGGTTGCCTTCCTGCGCACCTGCGTCTTTTTTGTTCTTCTCTTTTTTTCACCCTGGGCTCGAGGCTCGAGCGGTAGCACCAAGAACTAGGCTACAAAGCAGGTTCCTATCTTGTTCTCCCGAGGTGCTACATGGCACTACATGCATATTTATCGTTGTCTGGTAGTCCCGAGGCTGTGATTGATCGTCGACATGCAGTTCCCAGGATTCGTTCTATTACTATTATCTTAAATAATAAGTGGATCTGCTGAAAGGTGTGGTTAAGGGGTGGCTTTAAGTGGTGGTAGCAACGCAGATGCGACGATGTTCTCGTCAGCTACAAATGCAACCGTTAGTTTATGAAGTTTTTAGGGGAGGGGGGGGGGTATCAGAAGTTTGTTCAATTAGCAACTCGCGCCGCACCTGTGCTGGCTCGTGCCTTTCAGTCCGTCCATGGATCTGCTGTTGGTTCCCCTTTCAGCGAAATCTCTCAGGCATATTTGACCCGACTAAGGAACAAAGCAATAAATGGCGTGTATTAATTTAATGGTTTTGTGTAGGGGAAGTATAAATCTGGTAAGGGAGGTCAATGAACGGTGTCGTGTCTGCTCGTGTTTTTATCGCACCCCCTCTTTCCCTTTAACTATATACGTATGTACAGTAATATATTAATAATAAAAGTGTATAGATTTTTTGGGGTGGTTGGTAGTTAGGCCAACATCCAGTTACAACCCCCCCCCCC